AGGGTACATCCTGAATCAATTTGCTCCCAAATGTCTTTTTATGCATTAGCGTATTTGTCTATGATGACTGGATTGGAGGCTAAAGGTCTGATGGCTATAGCAAAACCCCCTTAGAGGTTCATTGACATGAAGGATTCCTGGACTCTGACCAGACAGGTACTTCCTCTGGCCCACTTTGGGTGTAAGTGCTCTCTCTGGCCCACTCTAGGAGTCTCTAGTTGACTAGCGTCTTAGAGGTATTGAGGTATAGAACACCATGCTGTGTAGCACTCTTGTAGAGGACTACATACAAAGAACAGATATCCAAGATCAACTTGGGGCATCCAGGGCTCCTTTATGTGTTTATACTTCCAAAACGGCTACATTGAACAAATCCTTTCTGGTTCTTATGATTACTTGGCTATCTAATTGGCAGGTTGGGCTGGGTGGCCAAACCTAGCATGTCGAGGCAGCCAGAGTCCATGTTTTTAACTTAAAACACCAGTCACGTGGCCAGACCACCAGAATTTCTGCTGTACCCCAAGGCAGGTACATGTAAGTTCAGTATTAAAGGGAAATATCTTCAAGATCCACATGCATGCACTGCTGGTTCCTAGGAGTACCAGAGGCGGGGGATGGGCTCTGCTCTACAGAGAGACGAGGAGCTGAGCTTCCTACTGGCCTATCACAGTCTATTAGACTCCTAATGTACATCTACCATGGCCGGCACTAGTGGGCTATAGCTACTTTCAGAACTATGAAAGGACAGGGTGCAGAGAGAAGAAATGGCAGTTGGTGGAGATGCCAGTGTTGTTGCTACATCAAGAAGTAAAATAGAAGAAGGCGCTGCACCTGACTCTCGAGTGCCATTCTTTGGCATGTGCACACCACCCCTCTAGAGCTGCTTCTACTTCGGGTTCCTGCTGCTGGGTACCCCTAAAACCCATCTCTAAAGGTTGTGTGGCCAAAGAATACAAAGTTGAAAAACCACCCAAGTATCCTCCATTGCTTCTACTAGAATAAAGGGGGTGAGTGCAATGATTTTATAGATTCGCAGGCCCACAAGGCTCCATGCAGAAACACGACAAGGCTCAAAATTAGGCATGGTAGAGGGAAGAGCATGATCAGTAGGGAGAACCTGTTGCTAAGAGTAGATAGTACGGTTTCATCTGCTTTGAGGAAAAATCTGAAAGCCCATTTAAAAGCTAGGAGGAAAGGGGGTGGGAAGAACTGGCTCTAGCCAATTTCCTGCTCCTCTCTCCAGGGCATAACACGACAGAGACACTCTAGGGAATTCCATAAAAAAATAAATAAATAAAAATAAAATAAAGTAAAAGCCTCTGTCCCGGGGGGGGGCTGTTTATTTAGGCAATTAACAAAGCACAAAGGGGCCTTTAGGGATACATGGTAACTGTCAGGGATGTCTAGCTTTTCTTCCTAGCTGTCTATCAGTTCATCTTTGCCTTTTCCACTTTTTCTACTTTCTTTGCCTAAAAGCAAACTCCCTAGGGGCAGCTTTCTATTTTAAAATGCAGGCAAGTCCTCAATAGGAGACCAGCAATGCCAACAGAGAGAGAGAGAGAGAGGTGACCAGCCAAATAAAAATCATGTCAGGAGAGTTTGTGTGTCTCAGACTGAATTGATGACACCAAGGATATAGAATCTGCCACTCTGCCAGAGGATCTCTGTTCCAGCAGACAGGCTTGGTGAAAGGCGCTACAGAGATCTAGCTGAATCCATGTATTCTGTAAGAGGCTACCCAACGAGTGGGAGGTAGGCTTGGGTCTATTCCACAAATGGATACTGGAGACATTCCTGCACCAGGCATCCTGCTTGGCAGGGAGAACAGCCAGAATCAAGTTCTGAAGCTCAAAATTATAATTCATCACTGAAAGCACAATGATCTCATTTTTCCTCCTTGCCTACCTGCTGGCAGCATATCAGAAGCAGTTTTAAGGGCCCTGAAACCTCTGCACACAATTTAGTGAATGCTCTGTCATTAGCCCATAGTGTTCAACACAGGAACCTTCCAAGTATTATAAAATTGCAGCCATTTGTGGCGATCTTCATCAAGAGATCAAGAAACAAAATATAGTTATGATCCATCCTCATATTTGAAATAGAGTTTTAAAAGATCTATTTAAGTTATTTTTACCCTTGGGTAAGGGTTTGGTTCAAAGCTTGAATTGCACTTTCATACAATCAAGAAAATTAAGTCATAGATGTAATATCTTCTATGTATACCTACATACTTAGCACCACAGCCCCATTAGTGCTACACATAGCTCCTCCCTATAAGAGCCACATAAATGCCATCTCTGGCACTTTCTATAGTAGCAACTTTTCACACAAAGCTGCTCCCCATGCACGCCTCACACTTCTACAGTAAGGGTGTTTGGAAACAGGGGGATTTTGTTGCATCCCTTTCCATTTCATAATGGAGATGTTGCCTTCTCTCTGGGACTTGTTCATCAACGTATTGGTCTCAATATTTAACCTTCTACATAGCATTCCTTTGCATAGCTCTAACAATCTCATGATTCTGACAGACTGCAAGGAGAGATGGAACACAGAGTGAGGTAACTTAAGCTCCGAAGAAACGGAAGGAAAAGACTGCTCCGAGAATCAGAGATCCAAAGCCTTCGTTGAATGGAAAAGCGAAGCTAAAATCCACCTAATACAGCAAGCTGGCACAGAGATAAGATTTGAGGCCTTAAAGAAGATTAGAGCACTGGGAAGCCTCAGGGGAGACTTAGCCCAGGTCACATTTTATCTAGCAACATCCTGCCTAGAAGGCAGTTCCCTTGGCTTTTCTTGCCTCTTGTTCTAGCACTACAGGATAAAGGTCTTCATCAACTCTGGCACCTTTTTAACTTTATATGAGACCACAGAGTCTTCATGTGAGCGCCCTTCAAAATGACTGCAAAAAGTTAGAAAACTAAATTATATTGTCTAGAAATTATCATTTGCTTTCATAATCTCTCAATCATAAAAGGCATATTTTTCTCCTTTTTATTTATGAAAAATTTATTTTTAAATGTGGCATATGTGAGTTTTTTTGGACTGCAAAAAAGTTATTTTTTATAAAAGTTATTTTTAGCATATTCAAAACAAAACTCAAAAAAATCTCAAACAAGGCTAACAGATTCTATAAGTTTCAAAGCAGCAGAAATGCAATTCTAAAATAAAAACTTCAGGATGTACAAATTAGAAGCAGGAGATACATCAAGCCAAAGTGACTCTCTCTGAGGCACAGTCCCTCTGACAAGTTCAGTCTTTCGACTTTGGGGGCAAGGACAGTAAGGCCTGAACTGTGCCCTGTGTAGTTGCTCACTGCTAACCCAGAAAGCGAAAAGAGTCAACCCAACAGCAAGGGGCCGGAGGGATGGTCCAGGCTTCCTGCAAAAGAGCACAGAGTTGAAAGCCTTTGCTAGAAGACATCTTTGCAGTACACAAGGTGAGAAAGTGGAAGTAAAACAATCATGTACTGTGACACTGGCTGAAGCCAGCACTTCAAAAAGCTTTGCTGTCTTCTTCCATTATGCTTGTGTTAAAATGAACCTGCCACTTGTTTTAAACGCATTTCTTTTTCTTGGTGTCATGAAGGACTGCAGATGCAGAGAATAATTACTGGCTCTCTGTGTGGCATTCACTGAGGATGCTGAAGGCTGTGGGGCTCTGCACAGCTATATCATCAGACATTGTCAATTCTTTGAGGGTGACTGTAGTCAATATAAAACTGTGTTTATTTGGGGGCTGATCCATTTGGAATTACTAATTTTCACAAAATTCACTGAAATTGGAGGCCTTGTGTTAACCTCCACCACCTGTTTCATTCTACCACCCAATAAATCAATTGGCTTTTATTAGAGAAGGGACCTTAAATGCTCTATATAATTCAAGGTGCAGGCTCCAAATACATTTCATTATCCTTTTTTTTTTTAAGCAATGATTCTATTTTTTTCTCAAGTGAAGGAATGTATGTATTTTTTCCCTCTATCATGTGTCTTCACATGGATTCACGGCTATCAGCTAAAATGAACAGAACTCAGACCTCACCATGAAAGCAACATTTAGCTCTTAAATAGATATGACAAATTTAATTCCTTAATGCGTATGAGCTTTTGATAGTTGTTGGAAATATACTAACAAATCTATGGAAAACCAATATAAAGGCTAAAACAAAATCTGACCAAATTTCTAAGATTTTAAAACAAAGTATCAGAGAACAATTCAGGCTGCTTAAGAACGAAATAAAAAGTATAGGGAAAGTAAGCCTGCTGGCCTGCAAAGGGCTCTCATGCAGTTTTTCTACTTTTCTCACCTCTGATTTCTCATTGTGATGAGAAATATCACAAGTTTGAGTTTGGGGAACAGGGTCATAACCATGACCCAGGAAGGGAACGCATTTAATCCCAAGGGTCCTTCTGAATGAAGGATGGGACTGTTCATCTCCAGCTAGGAAGTGAGGCCAGGAGCTGGAGTCAGTCAGTCGAGGCAGTTTAAGCTTGCAGTCTAAGAAAACAGAATGGTTTAGAAAGCCCAGGACAGCTGAGGCTACACAGAGAAACTGTATCTCGAAACAAAACAAAACAAATGAAAACAAACAACAACAAAAGTTTTAAAAAGTTCACAAATGATGCTGTTTAAGTTTCATCAAAAGATGAAGACAGTGAACACACAGTTTCTGATTCATCCACAGTGAGATTAGCCAGTCTTATCTTAAATACTCCATTTTAAGAGGAACCGTACCACAGACTTCAACACAAACCTGATAGAAAACCCCGAAAGTTCAAATGCATCCCGTACAGAGTGCTAACAGCAAGAAGGCCAATCTATAGGTAGTAAAGCATTAAGGGACAAGTTCACTCTGGAAATGGCTGTTGAATGAAACTATGATCTACACAAGTATAGAATTAGCCTTAAAAATGAGAGGTGGAGACACAGTACAAAGAATCAAGTCAAGGTCTGCACATCTGCCATTTTAATAAAAGGGTGCTATATGCATCATTTCAACAAGAGTGGATCTAGCAGCAGGAAGTGTGGCTCACTCAAAGACTTCATCCATTCAAGTGTCAAAAAAATCTGCAACAAAGAACAACCACAGATTTCACAAATATATGGAAACGCATTAACTCCTGATTCAGGATACTTTGTGTTAGCTGCAGATCAGATCACATTTTGCTTGGCCATATAACTGAATTTTTAAGATCCTCCTAGGAGTTAGTAAGAGTTTATAATGCCCATACACAGATCCAGCAAATTAGAATGAAATCACTACTCTTTGCCTTTTATAAATAAATGTATGTTGTTTGGTTGATTCATTAATCTTTCAATCACTATCAAATGACCACGTTATACAATCACCAATAATGATCATATTACACACAAGGCAAAAAGAGATTGAGGAAAGAGAGTCCTTGTACTTACAGACTTCCTCTTCGGGGCAGGCTCAGCTCCTTCTGCAAAAGAAAAGAGAAAACACACATGGGAGATGCCACACCAGACAAAGTCACCGGGACATTAAGTAATATGAATGGACATTATCAGACTCAATTTGTCCTTGTCAAGACACCAAAGACTTCGATGACATAATTTTAGGTTGGATCTCTCTCAACACCACTCTTGCTGTGGAAAAGAGCTCTGAGGAGGAAGTTTATACTACAAACAGCTGATCTGATTAAGAAGCCTAAAACCATTTGATCAGGGCCACTTGATTGAATACTGAACTGAATTGTACTGTCCCATAACTGAGGAAAGTCTGAAGGACCAGGGGGTCTATTTAGACCAGCAATAGACAGAAGCAGGAGAGATTTCAGAGCATTATAGTTAACCGAAAGGTGATATGAAAAGGGCAATTAGATTATTAAGTCAGGCCAGCTTACCCTCCAAGGAAACAAATTCAGGCAAAACGCTACACATACCAAATATCACTCTGTTACTTGAAAGGGAGCCTGCAACTGGATTTTCTTCTGGAATTACTTCTCAAAAGGAGTGCTATTTCTTTCTTAGGTATTGAAAAGTAGGTTAATGAACCTCTAAAAGGTAACCAGACAGCCACAATTCCCAGTGTTTATAGTTCTAAAGTGCACTCCCACACTTACCTCATTATCTACAGAATCACAGAGAGGCAAGGAAACAACAACATAAACCCCTCACAACCATCCCTGTAAGCAAACAAACCACACACAAAATACTGACTCAGACATATTCCATCCACTACAGACATTCCAGAGGCCCTGCTCCTGACAGATTACTTGATGACAGTAATTAAAGAACCCGGAGCCATGAGTCCGAGGCCACCTTAAACTCAAAATTCAGTACACTACAAATTCCGAAGAGGCTGAATTTGACCATTCATTCCCAGAATGATGCTCATTTTTGGTGTTTTCTAGAAGCTTCAGCATCGTCTTTGGAAAGGTGTCCCCACCCCCGCCCCATCCCCGGCTTCACACTCACCTTGCCTGCCCTCTATTTTTGTTGGATCCTGAATGTTTGTCATGCCCCAGACATCACTTCTAAACAGTGCAATTTACTCTAGCACAGCTTATAGAAAATGGCCTTGAGAGCATCCGAGGAGTGGCAAGGAAGATATGTGGCAAGGTCTTAAGACATAAAGATACCTCCCTGCCAACTTATAAATTGTTCCCACATGGAGTTACCATAATGTATCACTGGTTAGTGCTGGGGAGAACAATCAGTAATTTAAGAAATGAAGCACCTTCCTCCCCCAGAGCGAACATCTTCTTTGTTTGTTTTTACATTTCCCCCCTTGAATTTTTGATTATCTGCCAAGAAATTGCAGTGCTTGTTAATGCTGGCTTCCTGATTCTAAAGCAGAAATGCACCTCTATCCGCTGATGACAAGAGGACAGTCTTTAACCAGGATAGTCTCCTCAGGGGCTGAAATGCACACAGAAAACCAATGAACAATTTTCTGTATATGAATCTTTGATTAAGCAAACACTAGAAATTAGTTTTGTATTTGGCCTTAAAAAAAAAAAAAACAATTCCCTAAAAGTCATAACTCATTAGATTGTGTTTTCCAGGAAAGAACTGACACACCTTGTTCAGCAAAAGGTCTACAGCCTAAAAGGTTATCATTGCTCCGGCAGAAACTTGATCAGACGGCAGCATAGATAATACCAGAGGTATCAAATATCTGTGTGTGTGTGTGTGTGTAGCAAGTAATAAATAAATAAATAAATAAATAAATAAATAAATAAATAAATAAAATACCGGATGTATCAAATATATAAATATATATAGTGAGTAATAAATCCGACGCTATATCAACTATATATGCAAATAGAGAAGTCGGAAGACAGAAGAGGGAAAGGCTGAGTGGGTAGCTGATGGCTCAATCAATCATATTTCTCGAAACAAGCCAATCATGAACTGGCTGTTTTGCTCCCGGAAAAAGCTGCTGAAAAGGCAAGATAAGGGGATAAGAACCGACTCTGTTTTTAATCAGAAGTCTTTCCAGTAGGCCTAGAGTTACAAGTTCTAAATAAGGAGAAAGATTGCAGTGGTTTGCATGGCTCCCCTGCACCCCAGGATGGCACCTGAGCCTCCAGGGTGAGGAGCAGAGGACATTTAATAGGGCCACTGTCAGCTGACCTGGAGCCACCATGCTAACCAAGCTGGAGGAGCTAATCCACCTGACGGCTTGAATGTCAGGCTCAGGATGGGAAACTCAATTTGGTAGCAAATTGGAATCAGATGTGATGGTAATAAAGTGAGAGAAATGAATACGCCGTGGCCAAGACCTTGTGAACAGTAGCTGCCTGAGTCTGCAAATATCAGGAGGTCAGCAATTGCAGGCTGGGCAGGCGGTGGCTACTGCCCTAACGTATGGAGACCACACGCTGATAAATCAGCACAGGTCAGACCCAAATGAACAGCATCGGGGCGTTTTACAGCCCATGCCCCCACGGTACTCCATGTGTGTGTCTTCATTCTTTCCTTACTGCCGGGATAAGGTCACTAACGCATACGCAGATAATTAGGTAAGATGTGTGTGTTGGCCCAGGTCATAAACCAAAGCTAGCATTTGGTATATAGGGCATATGTGTTAAAGGCCGTATTAGGCAAGAACTGGAGGTGTGTCAGGGAACGGGATACAAAGGAAATGAAGGGGCAAGAAGCATCTTTATGAACTAAATATGCTTATTATTTCCAGATTAAGAACATATTTAAGAAGATTGAAGTATTATTCTCGTGGATACTGGTTACTCAGTGACTTTGTTTTATTTATTGATCAATTGATTGATTGGTGGGGGGAGGTTGTTATTTTAGTTTTTGTTTTGAAACAGAGTCTCGGGTTGTAGCCTAGATTGGCAATGTCCTGCCTCAGTCTCTCAAGTGCTAAGAGCCAATGTATTTGTTCTCAGTGACTTAATATATTTCAGACTGCTTATTTATCAATATTTTCTTAATATATAGTTTGTTCCATTTCTAAGAATGTTAAATTGTTAACTTGAAAATTAGTATGAAGTATAAATAACTTTTTTTGAGACGTCTTTTTCTTGAGATTTCTCAGTAAGACTGAGCATGGCCTTGAACAGTGTGCTCACACATAACCCCAGCACCAAGGAGGCTGAGGCAGGAAGATTTTTTAATCCCAAGAGATGGAAGCCACTCTGGGCTATATATAGCAAGAGCCATATCTCAAAAAAAAAAAAAAAAAGACTAAGCAGAGGGACTGAGGATTTTTTTTAAGTTTTTTTTTTTCTCAAATTTAAGAAGAAAATTCATGCAGAGTTCAGGATGACAAGAGAAATTCAACAGGTGTGAGCCTTTACCAGCCAGCCTCAGCCTCAAATGGGGGAAAATGGCTTGCAAGGAAGACGGCATGAGGTATTTCCATATGAAGAATGTGTCTGTCTACACTGTATTAAAGAGCTAGGTGTGGGCCACAGAACATAAAGAAAACTCACAGCGGAGTCAAAATTAGGAACCCGGGGTCCTTTTGGAATTTGATGGAACAGAAGCTTGGCATGAATGTGTAACAAACACCAAGACTGTCGTCCATTGCGTTGTCACTGTGAAGTGTCTGCATAGGTAGATGGATGTATAAATATGGGTTTAAGAACAGGGCTGGGGCTCCAGAGAGTCTGGAATCCTCAGCATGTAAGACGGCATGGAGAGCAATGAGCCTGGGGGAGGCGGGTGCGTAGGGAACTGAGAAGAGTTGGAAGAAGGAGATGAAACAGCCAGGACAAGATCCCGAGAAGCATTCACGGAAAGGATCTGGTCGCTAAGGAGCAGCAGAAGAGACCCGGTCTCCTCAAATCGATAGAAACTGAAGCAGCCTGACCTTACTTTGTGGGCCCAAACCAGCAATTTCTATGGCAACACGACGACTATGTCAGAAACTGGGTCAGAACCAGCAAGTTTAAGTCCGAGAACACTACTTACTCGGCACAAGCACTCTTAATGCACCTTGAAAGGGAAAGGTGTCAGAGAGCGCCTCCTACCGGTTGTACTTCTGTCTCCCTGTCTTTATCTCATGGCTCCTGGCAGGTTCCTAAGGCAGGCGGTTGGTTGCTTCTGGGTCTCTTGATCCAGCTGCCAACAGGGCAATCAGAAGAAATATGAGCTTTCCTCATGAGCACAAAGAGAAGTAGGGCAAAAGCCACCAAATTCAGACACGGGGAACTCTTCCAAGACGGAGACTGCAGCTTGCCTCCCCGAAAACCTGAAAACGAGCAGGGCAGAAACCAGAACTACCCACAAGTACTTTCCAGAAAGGAGCAGGTCGAGTGGTCCTGTGCTTCCCTGTAGCTCTCCCCTTAGACACTGGCATCTTTATCTTCTCACTGATGGTTATGATATGCACTGGTCACTCTCTCCCTATTCAGAGAGTTCAAAGAGCCAGGGTATATACACACTAGGGGCATATCTAGCCATAGATGGGAACCATGAGGTGGAGGACAGAACAAAATAAAACCTAGTTAAAGGCTACTCAGGGAAACAGATCCAGACTCTCAATGAACCAAGAGGTATCAGCAGGTGCAAGATTGCGCAGTCTATCAACCACCAACCAAAGAATACACATGGAGGTTTCCATGGCTCCAGCTGCATATGTAGCAGAGGATGGCCTTATCTGGCATCAATGGGAGGGGAGGCCCTTGGTTCTGTGAAGGCTTAATGGTCCAGCATTGGGGAATTCTAGAGTGGTGAGGCGGGAATGAGTGAGTGGGTGGGGGAACACCCTCATAGCATAGAAACAGGGGAGAGCGGGGTGGGATAGGGGGTTTGTGGAGGGGAAACCAGGAAGAGGGATAACATTTGAAATGTAAATAAATAAAATAACCAATAAAAAATTTTTAAAAAGATTTTGCTGTCTAACCTGGATGTGTAAATGCTAACCGGGGGCTGAAAATGACGGGGAGATGTAACTCTGCTGAAGCAGAAGTTCTGAGCGCTGGTTGACTTGGCTGAAGTAGAGATTCTGAAA